CCCTTTCTCTCTCTCTCTCTCTCTCTCTCCCTCTCCCTCTCCCTCTTCCTCTCTTCTTCTTGTATTCTCTAAAGAAAATTGAAATTTTTACTGACTTAAAAAAAATTTTTTTTTTCCTTAAATTTTAATTTGTTTTCTTTTACTCTTTTCTTTTTTTCTTTTCTTTTCATTTTCTCATAAAAATATTCGTCTTATTGTTAAATGAATACATTCATAGCAAAACTTTTCAAATATTTTAACAAGAAAAATGGAAGAAATGTTTCAAGAAGATTTGCCTAAAATCATTCCTTACTTTCTTTTTCTTTTCTTTCCTTCTTTTTTTTTTTCTTGAAGACATGAGAAATTGATACATGCATTTGATTCTCTTTTTTTTTTTTTTTTTTTTGTAATGAATGAATTGGTTGTTGAATTAATGTTGCAACGAATCATCAATCAATTTGATAATTTAAAAAAAAAAAAGGAAGAAGGAAAGTGAAGAGAAACGTTTTTCCAATGTTTAACATTTGGTTTATCCTATTAGTTTTTTTTTTTTTTTTATTAAAAAAAGATTTAATTTTTCCTCTTCATTTCTTTTTCTTCTTTTTTTTAAATTGTTAAAATTATTTTTACAACATTTTATGAAAATACATTATTAATTCATTTTGTAATGATTTTTATGGATGATCGGTTTGTTTAAACAAATTTATATTAAATTAGTAGTTATTGAGGCGACACTTGAGCTTTTTTTTTTGACTTTTTTTTTTGATTTCGACTTTTTTCTTTGCCTTTAATTAACTTATGAAATAACTTTTTTTCCATACTCCGTCTTTTGCTATTGTCATTCATATTAGTATTGATAATAGTTAAGAAAGGACATTGCTTGTTTAAATTAGTTCATTTAACTTTGAAATGTTTAAACATTACTTCAGCGATAAGTTTGCAAATTGTAGTAGAATGTAATGTATAAATCATTGTATGATGCATAATCTTAGGAATATAATTCAAAATTCACTTGGAAGTATAGTCACATTCTGACCTTTGACCTCCTTATAATTTTATCATTACTGTATTTGGATGTAATCCTAATCAGTGGTATTTCCTGTACTATTAATAGTTAGATTATCATATCAAATTGTCAAATAATTTCGTAATTGTTTAAATAAACGAAAAGAATAAATTCATTTAAAAAACACACAAAACGAGAAAAATTTTTAATATATACTTTTATCATAGATATATTTTATCTTTCCAATAGAATTATCACTTGTCACATCTTCTTTTAGTAAAAAGAGCAAAATGATCTGTCACCATGTTGTATTTCAACAATTAGCTTGAGCAAAACTTCATGCCATATATTATATGACATCAGAAAATATTGATAAAGTTTTTAAGAAACAATTGGATATGCTTATCATTATGGATACTAGGCTAATAAAATTATTTGCTAGCATTGGTTCCAAATTGAATTAATAGGCTGATATTCATGGATGTTAGATACTGTAATTGCATAAATTATTCCATCCATCCATTCAAAGCCTAAATATTGGAATTGATTTCAGATTAATAAATGGAAAAATGTGAAATTTTAATTAAATGTAAAAGATCGGAAATATTTTGTAATGATTTTGAAAGGAGCAATTGCTGAATGAGAAATAAACAAATGTATTTTGCAAGGATTCGATTGCATTCAATATTTATAAAATGTCATAAAAATTTCAAAAAAAAAAAAAATGTCGGGACATTTTTGTGTATTTCTGTTGCAGAAAAGATGCTAAAATAACGATTGTAAAGATCGGTTAAGTGATGATAATTCCGGATGTTAAAAGATATCGGGATACGGTGAAATGCAGGAAAGGCAAAAAAAAAAAAGGAAGAAAGAAATTTCTTCTTTTCTTTTCTTTTTCTTCTTCCAATTATTCCGATTATTTGTTGCCCAAGAATTTCCTGATCCAAAAAAAAAAAGAAAAGAAAAAAAATGGGATATGACAGTGCAAAGAATAAAAGATCGAAAGTTCTTATTTCTTTTCTATATATCATATTTCATTTAAAAATTTCAAAAGCAGGAAAAATTTCTAGTTTTTTTCTTTTTGAATTAAAAAAAAATGCTTTTGTCACATATATCATTTGACAGGTTTTTTTTGTTTTTCTCTCTATCATCTTTTCTTTTTTTTCTTTTGAATATTAATTCTTTTTTTCGCAAATTTTATGATACCTTTGTCTTTTTTTTTGGGAAATTTGAATATTTTCAAATGATTATTTATTGTTTAAACAATAAGTCAACGATTGTCTTTTCCTTTCACATTTAGCTTTTTTTTTTTTTTTTGTATAAAATTTCATAACTTACCTTACACTTTACTTAATTATTCAACTTCTCTTCCACGAATTTTCATAGATCCCTTTATTTGCCATGAGGAAAAAAAAAAAGAAAAAATAAGAGTAATTAGGAAATAAATATAGAATAGTAGATAAAAAGAATATTCATTCGATAATAGTAAAATTAAGAAATCATTAATTGGGAATTTAATGAATGTCCATTTACTTTTTTGCTTTAATTGTTATAAATAAACCTGAGCTACCTGTTTTTCTCAATGATAATAATTGATCCGGATAATAATGTAGTTGATAGTGTATATCAATAACCGGATACGGATAACTATCAAATACCTGATACCAGCTGTCTCTTTAATCATTTATTTTAATCCACCAGCTGTTTAACATTTTTAATAGCAAAAAAGCATATGGCAAAAAATAAAAAATGAAAATTAAAACGAAAAAAACAAATAAATAAATGAATTAATATCTTTTTGCTCAAAATATTGCATGTGATAATCATTTATTTGAGATTTATATATAAAGAAAAGTGTGAAAAAATTTTTAAAATCATCGTAGTTTGATCTTATAACACTTATTTTTTTTTTTTTTTTTGCATAATTCACTCATATATAATTACGGTTGACTGTCGCTAAGGAAAATGTATGCTATTATTTTTATTACTTTTCGAATAGGTTACAATAGTTAATCACTGTCCTCTTGTCGTATTTATTTCCTTATCAGTTTCATGTTCTCGTTTTCATTCTGGAAACTTTTTAATCGAAGGTTAAAATAGCAATTACTGTCCTCTTATCATATTTGCTTATTTATCAGTTTCATGTTCTCGTTTTCATTCTGGAAACTTTTTAATCTATTATGATAAATATTGCACAAATAAATACTTGCTAAGTTTTTGAAAAAATGCACAGAATG